TGGGAGAGGTAGTGTAAATAGGAGCAGGTGTCCAAAGTTGAATTTCCCCAATTGTTTACACTGCATTTACTTGCAGGCCCCTCGCTTCAATCATTTATGCTACATGCATGTACTGTAAGTCAGGGTGCATATATATATTGGTGATGCAAGGCAGAATTATGATAACATATGATCAGCTGTACTCCCTCATCTGCAATTATATTGGCATACTTTCTCACAAAGTGAAAGTCTTTAATAAATTCAGTCTAGTAAAATGTGTACTTATACATGTAGTTCTATTTTTACGTATATTGTTATGTCAAAATGTGAAGATAATTTTGAATGGTTTCCCCCTCAATATATTTGATTCAACAACTTTTTCTTGGCTCTCTCTTGTTTCATTTTCTAAAAAGACACATCATGTACATTTTACATACTAGATTGACATGAATCTGTATGCTTCATGGGTAATGATTTTATACAGCACTTTTTTTTAAATATAGATTTCCTTGTTTTGTAGCTCCTTTCCAAAAGCCTGATGATGTAAATGCACATGATGACCTTTTTAAAATTTACTTTTCATGACCCACATACATACTGTATATGTAGATAGTGGTGTACAACAAGAAATATGCATGACATTTATTATCATGCCAGCACCCTGGGAAATGTGAGAGACAATATGCTTGTCCCCAGCTCATGTAATATAAAACCAAACCCATTCATCAGCCATCCCCAAGGGAACAGACTGAATTCATATATTAAATAATTTATATTAAACATTTTCAGGGTTCTCTTGAAAAGGCATACCCACTGAAATTAAAATTAAATGAGTAAGAGCATCATTCATAATTTCGGTATTGGAAGCTATGCAGTGAAAATATTCTTGATTTCTCCTTGAATCAATAGTACTAAATAGTGAGAAAAATACATTAACAGATTCCATTTCTGTTCATACCGGCCAATCAAAGGGTCTGTTCACATGAATGGACATTTCCAGCAATACATTAGCAGACACACACACACATATATAGATATAGATATATATATATATATATATATATATATATATATATATATTTCTAGTGTAAAGAGGGCCTTATTGATGACTGCTTCTCCTGTACTACATGCACTTGCTGATGAATGAGTCACAACATTTCGCATAAGATTATAAATCTGCCAGTCATTCATGAAAAAGGTCAACCCTTGGCCTCCTCCCATATTGAATTTCCTCCCCAATATGAAGCACTAAAAGGTGTCAGAATGGCCCATTATTTGAACAATTAATGATCCTAATGGTTCGCTGGATAAGAAGATGCACTTTTAAGCAACTGGATGCACACGTAGGTGTACATGTATGCTGGGATAAAGAAAACCTTGCTCTTTATCCATACAGCATCAATGATGGTAGACACCAGGAAGACTGAATTATTAAAGAGGAGTAGAACTAGTAACTACATTTACATTTACATTAGACATGATGCATTTATGCACTACAATCAATGTACAGGAATTAACATCCAGGTGGTGACACGACATTTGCTCCTGCGACAATTGCTCCGGGCTTTATTTCGTCTAAGATGTAGGGTTAGGGTTAGGGTTTCAATAGGGTTTTATGTTAGGTTTAGGGTTAGGTTTAGGGTAGGGTATAGTGTTGAATCCAGGGTTGAAGTTAGCCATTCGATTAGTGTATGAAATTTACAGCGGAGCAATTGTCGCCGGAGCAAATGTCATGGAATCCATCCAGGTACATCAGGTAAATTATATTTTCAATAACTTCTCTACGGACAAGAATGACTGGAAAAAAATCCTTTGTTACAATCTCCAATTCTCCATACAAAATATCCTTTGTCTAAATTACATGTTATCTCTACATGAATATCATGATTACCATTTGCATTTTATTAGGAGACCAATTTTAAAGATATCAATTAACCCTTAATGTTTTTTCCTTCTCAATAATATTTAGGAATTCAGAGAAAAACTATGTTTGTACACTACTGCCAAATTTGATTCACTTCGTGCAGCAAACATTTTTCATGTAGAAGAATTCAACAAAAAATATTCAAAATGTATTAAAATATTAAATGTAGAATCTTTTTTTCTTTCCATTGATGGGTATGAAATTTATTTTTAAAAAGAGCTCACCTAATTTCAATGTCTATCAACCTTACATTACTAAAATCCATACAATTTAAAAGATTTAATTGCCAGAGCTATGCTTGAATTGAGCATTACATGTAGTTGTGGGAAGAAGTATAATTCATTTCATTTTTCATTTTCATTTCATTTATGGAGATCATTACCTAGGTTTTTTTCTCACATGAAAACCTGTGATGATGATGAATTTTATTGGAAGCTGTAATGCATTAGACCAAGCTAATTTCATTTGTCCTGTAATATTTTCATTTTAACCCACAAATCAGCAAGATTTTGAAATTAATTACATTTTATATCTCCCCAGACCTTCCAAAATTAAAAGTTACACTTTACTGGACTACATGAGTACAGTTGTATGTGAATCAATACAGGAGAGATTTTTTCGAAAAATCACACAAAACAGCATTCTGGAACACTCAAGGAGATTAAAATGTATGACTTGCATATCAGTTACTCAGAGATGCTATTGATTTTTGCCCTTCTACTTACGCATTTTACAAATCAATACTTGTGGGGCACAGGCATTGTGATTTCTTTCCACGTTGCTTTCAAGTACATATATGTGCCAATGATTGGAATCTAGGTTCCCAATATATTTTAAAGAAAAAACAGTGAGTCTCATGGCTCAATGCAATATTCTGCATCTCTCCCACTCTTTTTATTCTCTCATTCTCTGCTAGCCTTCAACAGCCACAACCTTTTTTTCTTCAAATGTGATCTAAGAAGACTAACATTTTAAAGAGATCAGTTATTTTCTAAAGAAAACTATTATTGGTAAGGTTCATCAAAATAATGCTTCTCTTAACGACTCACACAAAAGGCACCGAAGCTGCATTTAATTTGCAAGCAAAAATCATAGATTCTTCTCACGTTCTGGTGTTTCTCTGCAAACTAAAAAACGAAATTGAATAATCCATCTCCGCAACGTTTTTTGTTTCAACCCTGCCAGAAATCGCACCAATTAGGTCACGTGACTCTCCTTGCTTCCATGTGATCAAAGGCAGAGCACTGACAAGTTGCGCATGCATGCAACTCACAAAAAAATTAGAATGAGCAAACACCAATGGTGTTTGGGTTGTGTAAATTGGCCTATTGTAATTTGTTAATTATCTGTCAATGCCACTATTTTTTATCATTTATTTATACATTTTTTCTGCAGAAATGTCAATTACAAACATGAAATGACAGATGTATAGTGTAACAATATTTGTATAATCTTTTTACATTCAATCATTATTATTTTTTTTTAAAGAATTATTTCCCACTCCAGCCAACAAACACTCAACCTACTTGAATCTTTAGATTTTTGTTTTTTGTTCATATTATAAACATTCACCTACTTGCACACAGTATCCACATTATGATTTCTCTCTCCTGCCCCTCCCCACCCCAAGGAGCTGTTTCAATGAATGTAAGGTACCTGTTCCACCCCACCCCCATCCAATCATTGACAACAAACATCCAGTGAATCGGTAGTAGGGGTAGGAATGGCATTATCTGTGCAGTTAGAAGAAGCGCAGGCAACCTGATCTTAGTTCAAACAACGGGAAATAACCAGGTATGAGAGGGATGTCTTCTACAGCACACACTGTCATACCTTCATTCAAGACTTTACATGACTTTTGTGTGTACAGGGGTGTACATTCTCAATCTCTATCAAGCTGGAAGCTGATGGATTATTAAACATTCTTGGGCAAATAAGGCTGGTCACAGACTATTCATCCATTCTCTTCAAGCTACTTTTGCCCATTTAAAAGTCCAAGCTAATTTTCCAACTTCACTAATAAATTTGACAGTGCATAGCCATTCCTGCAGCCCATGTGAAAGTCATTCCAAACACCTGAAAACAGGCTACAAAACCCTAGAACTGCTGGGTAGCCAAGAACAATCAGAAAGATCCTCAAACACAGAAAATAGAAAATTGCTGGCTGAAAAATAATGAGATTGTCGCAGGTCCTGAACAGATTGCTCAATAAGTGGGTTCCCTCATGTAAGGCGATACTGATTCAATTTTGGGGACAAATTCTTCTGGATATTGGCTCAATTAATTTAGCATGCCCTCGCCTGATTACAATAATTTGGAGGAATGTGTAAAGTGCAATACAGAAATCCTTGTGCACATTTTAGGTATGTGTCATAATGCACTGAAAGAAAAATACAATACTTTATTATAATTTGTAATGTAGTAGTATAGGAATACCAGTATACAAGCAAATAGAAATACATGGAGTAATATACAGCCTACTTGACATTTGACAAAAATTTCTTTGTTTCCTTTCTCTTATTCATATACAGTACCTGTAGTATTGTAGCCATATTTATCAATTTCATTATAAAGAATCAATTATCGATAAGCCTATTGCACTAATATATGCCTAATGCAAAACAAGATTTTAACAGTCCAAATAACCTAAAAGAATTTATTTTTTTGCAAAAGAACAAAATATTAACTTCATTATTAGACCAAGGAAAGCTGTAAAACCATAAATTCATAATATCCTGCTGAGGGTTTGAGATAGGGATAACTTTTATAAAATATTGCTGCAGTGCCTGTCACAGTAAATGATATCATAATCACATACGGCATTCACTTACCGCTCAAAAAAAATGGCAGTATTTTTTTTTCTTCTGCTGAATATCCTACACATATTGTAATTGCCCCTTGTACAATGTACCATAATAACTGTAAATCTGAAAGAAATTCTGCCTCTACATGTACTTAGATAAAGCTTGGACATTCTCTGTGCTTCTTGTAATAATGCATGATCAGGATCATCAATTGCCATACTACATGTACATGCTACTGTATATGTACGATACATGACCATTTAGCAAGAAAGACAAATATTAAAGGTACTTACTCATCCGGTGTAGGGCCATAATAGTTCATATTTCCAATATATCCACGAAAATATAAAGATCTGGAAAGATAAATACAAAAACAAAATAAAAACATGAAATAAAACTGATTTCAGATTATATTTCATTACATCTAATGATACAGAAAACACACATACAGTACATGTATACTACAGCATGCACATGATCTAACAAACAATGAAACTTAAAAGCACAATAAACATGATGTTTTATTAAAAACAATATGTACCAATCCAAAACATGTTTGCTCTTGATGTTAAGGGTTCCATGTGAATGTAATTATACTGCATTCAATACATGTATATTAACTTCAAAGATTACTATTTCTGTAAATACAAAGAGATATTGCAATTTAAATACATTCTCAGTGAGCAGTAAAACATCTTGTTGAGTAATGCACGCGTACGCACTCGCATAGAATAGAGCGCGCATGGAAACCATGTTGAACTTGGGTTCCATGTGAGCCCTAAACGTGGGGTTTTATGTTATTTTGTATTTTCTTCATACCGTATTTGCCTCATAGGCCGCATCCCTGATTTTGACATTTAAAAAAAAAAAAAAAAAAAAAAAAAATTGTCGGAGGCGGGATATGAACCCACCGGTACAAATGTAGATGCGACCCAAGTCACAGCCTTAGACCGCTCGGCCATCCCGTCCCTATTGCTATCCTGTGCAGCTTTCTCTTGTGTGTATATATTAGTATATACATGTAGCTCTATGATTGCGCCATAGCTTAAGCACGAAGAGCGAGAGGATTCAGGTTGCTTTAGCTACGGCAAAAACTTAAATCTAGATCTACCAGTAGAGTTTGGTTGGTAAGTTATGAATTTTATTTACGAGATTGAAACCTTCATTTAAAAAATATAACACATAATTGTCGGTAAGACATGTGTTACTCTAGACAGTTATTCTAGAAATGTCCATCACCTTTCAATGTTGTCCCATATCTTCAAATTTGTGTTTTTGACTTGCGATCTTCTTTTTTTTTACTCTTTCGTCGTAAAGTCCGCACCCTGACTTTTTGATATTTTCTCTTCCAAAAATACTCCGGCAAATACGGTACTCCTTAATCATTTACATGTAGAATACCAGGCAAGGTTTAGTAAGGTTGATTTTATACATTCTAGCTATACAAAGAGAATTTGTTAAGGTGATTGGTAGACTAGAAATATTTCCCTCTGATTTGAGAATTTGAAAACCACAAAAAACATGAGTAGTTGACAATCTGACAGAAATGATAATGATCTGATGTATACCATGAACAACAGCAACAAAAATGCTTGGAAATAATCTTGATCCAATAAATACTAATTGATTGAAGATCACCATAAATTTGCAGAAGCAATCAATACAAAATATTCATGTATTCTAGCCTCAATATATTGCGTTTGCTTATCTTGAGTATTTTACTATACTGCACTGTGTACAGTGTACTGGTTAGGCCATATTTCTGTTCACTGTAATCAAGTTCAGGCATCACATACAAAAAAGTCTTACAAAACCAATCAAGATTCAAGACAAAAGCCACTAGTGTTAAATTTGAATTTTGATTAATGGTGTTTATAATTAAAACCAAAGATTATATGTCAGATTTTGTGAGCAGATTTTTATTTGCAAATGTGCTGTTGCGATGATGTACCTATACATATAATCTTTGCACATACATGTATGCAGTGCTCAGCCAAAGTGCACTTTGTCTGAAAGTGCATGATACAAAGGATCTCAGTGATCTCATCCATTTGAACTAAATTAAAACATTCAAAAGGGTCTTAAGGTGCTTTTCGTTCTTTCAATTTCCTGTAAAAAAAGTCTAGACTACCCGGTCTATGGAACATTTACAGAATTTTACTTTCATGGAATTATGACTTTAAATCACTTGCTTTATCTTTCCTCCAGAGATGCTACTTAAGTAGTAGCTATTCAAATATACAAAGGATGTATAATATGATATATCAATTTATTTCTATATCCTAGGACAAAACTTGGCAAATACATTGTAGAACATAGAGTCTAAACTGCAGTTAAAGGTAAAGACCAGTTATGGTCATGCGATTGCATTGTGAAAGAAACGTTGTGGAATCGATCAGAAAAGGTTGATCATCTAGCATCTAGCATCTGCAAGGTTCTGGAATCATCAAAATGATAAGAAATTTGGCCCATTCTTCGTAAAGTTACAAGCACTATACACAGAAAGATGTATATGGGACTACCCTATATCTCTCACAGACCATGAGAGAAACAAATTTACCAAATATATGAATTAGTAGGCGGTTTCCCGGCAAATTTTTTATCATCATGTATTAGTCAAAACATATTCTTTCACATGATTGGTGATGAGAGCTTCCATTTCATTTTTTGAAATTGGGGCGTTTCCAATACTGGTCTTTACCTTTAAGGGAAGATAAAAACAGACCTTCCTTTATCAAAAATAAAAAGCCTTGTCCAATATATTTTTTCATTTATTACTTTATGCTGAATTAAATGTTACAAATATCTGAATACTTTCAACAAATCGGTTTGTTATCAATTCAACAATGCTGCATCCCAATATCCTGTCTTACAAAAAGAGCCAACTATAATCTGCAATGCAGTGTAACACATGTCAGCATGAATTACACAGCAGAGCAATGATTCACACAGTCACTTGCACTTTTCAATCATATCCTAAGCACACAAATTTACGCATGTCATTGCAGACTCCCTACAAAGAAGTGCGGTGAATAGGTCATAAGGTCATGCACTCAACTCCCAAGCTATAGGGGCCACACACAGCTAGGGCAAGTTCAGGTCATGTGTACCATTTGTTTTCCTTTTTATTTCTAATATATTACTCAATATCAGAATGAAAGAACTGGTTCTCTAACATTCCTTCAGGGCCTGTGCAGGTACTGTAGGTACACCTGTACATGTATATGGGTCACCTACATGTAGGCATACATAAATAAGATTGGATTGATGTGCATGTAGCATGAAAAACCCATTCATCTCAATGAAACAATGCTCACTTAACATGAATGGTAAAACTGCACTAGAATTTTTTATCCAAGAAAAAGATAATTAGAAAGCTTATAATATAAGAACTCCATAATATGTAGCCTGAAGGAAAAAAATCTGCCATTTTTCTCTCCAACAGTCATGAGGCTTTCACTTCTAAGCTAGCCAAAGCTAACAAATCATTTTAAAGATAAAGACCAGTTATGGTCATGCGATTGCATTGGGAAAGAAACGTTATGGAATCAATCAGAAAACGTTGATCATCTAGCATACAAGTATTGGTGTGTACTGCAAGGTTCTGGAATCATCAAATGATAAGAAATTTGGTCCAGTCTTGGTAAAGTTACAAGCACTGTACACAGAAAGATGTATATGGGACTACACGACATGTGCATGACACATGCGCGATATCTATCAGGTCCAAATAGATATAATAACTTACCAAATATATCAATTAGTAGGCGGTTGCTCGGCAAAATTTGTATCATCACGTATTAGTCAAAACTATTCTTTAACACGAGCTTCCATTTCATTTTTTGAGAGGGGGATGTTTCCAAAAACTGGTCTGTACCTTTAAGCAGGGAGGATGGTGAAAACTATATTTTAAAAAAATTCCCCCTCCCCCTTGAGTAAAAAAAAAAAAGGATCCAGGGAAAAAAATGGCATCTAACAACATTCTCCCCTTTTGAGTAAAAAAATTGGGGAAAAATAAGGAAAAATCAGAAAATCGGGGTAAAATCGGGAAGAAAAAAAATCAGGTAATTATCAGGCCTGTTTAAAGGTAATAAACATGTAAGCTTGAATAGGGTGAGATTAACATGTACCACAGCAAAGATAATACATAATCCACAATAAGGTTACAACGTGTACACATCGTTAGACAACTACACATGTCCGATTTCTTGTACACGGCTACCATGTTTGTTTTTTTGGTTTTTTATAAGCGTCGATTTATGCCCCTGCACCTGGTACTGTGCCGGGGTGATGCTCAAACATGCCCAGAAGAGCATGGCACCATGGCACCATGAGTAAAAATGTCTCCCAGCTCAATCATACACGGAGTGTCGACTCACCACTCGGAAACTAGAACCAAACTATTGTAGCCGCTAATGTCCAAATTTCTGTTTGGACTCGGAGGAAAATTTGTCTGTCATCTTAGTTTTAAAAATGACATTGTTACTATTATTTGAGACAATTTCACAAGCACAAACCGGCGCCTTCAACTGCACCTCGCAGTAAAATAAAGGTCTTCCCCGAATGGGTTTTCGAACGCGGAACCGGCAACAACAACAAAGACGGAAAAGTATCAAGTATTCTCTTTATAATAGAAGCCAATTTTTCATGGAAAATTGATGTTGTGATGACTTGAAAATCAAAATTAAGCAACTTTGTTAGAGTAAAGTCACCACCCACAAAAAAAGACTACATGTAGGTGTCAGTTTTACCCCCCCCCCCCCAAAAAAAAAACATGGCGCCCGTGTACACGTGTATCCGACCGTATGCCTGGACATGTACACAACTACCTAATTAAACACTTATTCACAGCCTTAACCCACAAATCAACATTCTCTTATGTTAAGATCATTACTTCCAGGTACTTCTATGCCGGATGGTCCATACTTGATCCATTTTTCTGAGAAGAATTTTTTTATTAACAATCTGTTTTTAGATTTGATTGTGATTTAAACACAAATATACAAACCATCTTGTTTTTCTGGGGTTATTTTTTAAAGATGGATATATTAAGGAGGGGGTAAAATGTAGCAATGTTTTTTTTTAATACCATTTGTCTGTTACCCTCTCCTAATTTGTTCCTGATGCTACAATTTCTTGCTCTGATCTGCCTCTTTATTTGACTTTTTCTATTTCCATCTTTCAATGTATATTTAATATCTTCTATTCTTTCTCCCATTTTTTGGTGATCTATTATTGTGTAAACTACATGTACTTCTTGCACTCATCTCATTTTGTCTTGTCCTGTCATTTCTTCAGTATGTTTCCCCTAATACTTTCTTTCTCAATTTATTTATAACCACAAACTCTGCAGCTCATTTATGTGAGAATAAATATATATTTTGCTTTTAATCACTGTAAGTACAACAGATAATTCTCCTCTTTTCTACAATATGCTATTAAAGGGAAAGTCCACTCCCAAAATAAGTTTGTTTCGATAGAGGCAGAATAATAAGAAAATCAGGTGAGTGAAAGTTTGAGCAAATTCTGAATGAAAATAAGAAAGTTATGAATTATTGAAGTTGTGATCAATCAAACACAAATTGGCAACTCTATGACGTATCATGCGAGCTCAACTTCCATTTGCTCAGTACTAAAAAAATCTAAAATTTTCATTTTCCCTCAAGAAAAATTTCAACCATACATGCACCCTAAATATAATAAAATTTTGCAAATATGTTTCTATACTCCCCCTGCAAGGAACAAATATATATTCCGTCATCAATAACGAAGAAAACATGATTTTATGGAATATTATGCACAAAGCAAATGAAGGAGAGCTCGTATAATAAGTCACAGAGTTGCCAATTTGTATTTGATTGATCACAACTTCAATAATTCATAACTTTCTTATTTTTATTCAGAATTTGCTCAAACTTTCACTCAACTGATTTTCTTATTATTCTGCCTCTATCGAAACGAACTTATTTTGGGGGTGGACTTTCCCTTTAAAAGAAGATTTGCACTCTCTCAAAAATTAAATGCCATTGAAACGAATGAGAGCCTCTTTTCAAAGTTGCACATCTTGAAGATTTGAATAACATACATGTACATGTATGCCTGACTGATACTTGTCTGCAATGGCCCAAGAGACTTGTTTACTAATGTATTTCAATGTATGCATATTTCTCTCTCTAACACCTAGTTAGCAGCTACTCCATTCACCTGCTATTAATATTGCATCTCTATCGATGGATTTCGGGAGAAAAAACGGGAGAAAAACATTGATGAAAATGGTTAAAGGTCATTATCATGTTCAGGCTAAAGCTAGTGTACCGTAAGCGTTTTTTCGGAACCCTGCTACGGTAGCAGCTAACTGTTTTTGTTGAATGAAAAAAATGCTTGTTTGGACTTAAAAGTCTGTAGTAAAGGAAATAGTAGCAACCACCGTAGATCTATGATTGTGTTCCACCACTAGCTAGATATAAATCTAGTTGCATTGTTATAGAGCATTGTATGTAATTAGTTAACTAGCTGCGCATTGCCCGCCGAATCCAAAATCAAAGCGCGGGCCAGCAGCTAACAAGCGATTGCGCAATAATTCTTCACTCCCGGCCGGAGTTCGCCACAGCGAGTGAATTTTATCGGCAGTATGTATGATGCGGGAAAACGGCAGTTTCACCTCTGTTCACCAGTTTTTCACCTTTTTTCATCAGTGTGACTATGAAAGGGTATTGGTGTAGTTTACATTACAATTAAAAAAACACTAACAATTATTAGGGGAAATGTTAGATAGTAAAAAGCTGTCTGCTCTGAGTTTTTAAAAATATATTTTGTTTTTAGACGCTCTCATTCGGTGAAGCTTGACAGTCTCAATGGAACATATCCCCAAAAGAAATTCTGGGATACTTTCAGTTTATTTTTCAAAGTCATATCTCCATCGACATAATATAGAGTAGCGTAACCAAGATTCATACACAAATTAACATATTCAAAATTACACTGCCAACACAAATCAACATACACCCATGTACTTCACACACAGTCATTAACTGCAACGACAATCACAGAAATCTCACCAAAATTCATTCTAAAAACCTTAATTCTGCTGCCAAAAATGAGATATACATGTTGGTAACAAAGTCTGAAAGCCTGTGAACGCTTACGCTCGGTAATAAGAAATAGGTTTGGCAAAAATGAGCAAAAAGTCAGAAAATATGAATTTTGTTCCGTTTTTGTTTGTTTAAAGATAAAGTTGAGTTCTGATCATGCGACTGCATTGTGAAAGAAACAATGTGGAATTGATCAGAATAGGTTGATCATCTAGCATAATATAGGTATTGGTGTGTACTGCAATGTTCTGGAATCATCAAAATGATAAGAAATTCGGCCAAGTTTTGGTAAAGTTACAAGCACTGTACACAGAAAGATGTGTATGGGACTACACAAACAAGTGGCATAATCCGTCCAGATTGTTATGATGTTACATGCCATATTTAGAATATGAAGGCATTTGAAGAGCCATGCTTTTCAGGGAACATTTCTTATCTGATGTTCTTCCACACTTGCATATACCGTATTTGCCGGCGATAAGGCTGCACCCCCAACTTTGACATCATAATTTTCTCGTAGAACACTATTTTTTTTTTTACAAACTGATACCAAATTCATCAATATTCTTATAAATTACCAGAAGTTTAGCTAAAAAATGATTGCAAGCAGATTTAGTGTCCGATATATACACCTACCACAATGTACGGTGTGATGCCACACAAAAGCTTTTTGGGCTGTTTTGGCTTTTTGTTAAACAGTTCAGATCAGCTCTCATTTCAGTGTTCGAAAATACTTTCATTCTATTACGAGGCACAGTTGAAGTGCTTGTGAACTAAGTTTTAAGACCTAGTAACAATGTTGTTTTTAAAACTAAAGATGTCAGAAAAAATTTCCTTGCGAGTCCAAACAGAAATTTGGACAGGCTAGTTTTCGTGAGTGAGTGAGCTGCATGATACAGGTGAGTGAGCTGAAGACACGGGAGAGCTTCGGCCGGCAAAGTGCTTTGTAAAGGGGCATAATTTATCGTGACTGAAAAAAAAAAAAACTCTCTTCCCTTCAAATTAGGATCGTAGTTTAACTTCAAAGAGTAGATCCTATTCTTTATTTGCATTATGTAATTCATGTTGAGACACAGAGATTTTCGAAAAACACTAAACAGTGGCATTTTGAGGACTCGAAATATCCTGTACCTGTGTATACGGCGCACCCCCAACTTTTGATTTTTGCCGACGGAAAAAAAGTGTGCCTTATACACAGAGATTTACGGTACATATTGAGATCTATTAGAAAGATTAGTTTCAAACCAAGACGATAGATAAATTTGAGTGTTGTTGTAGTTTCCGAGTGGTGAGTCAACACAATGATTACTGAACTGGGAGACATTGCCAGGCATAGCGCCATAAATCAAAAATAAAATAAATAAATAACAACAAAAATTTTTTTTTTAATTCCTGTACCTGTGTATAAGACGCACCCCCGACTTAAATTTTTTTTGGCGGCAAAAAAGTGTGCCTTATACACAGAGATTTATGGTAAGCCATGCAACTAGTGCAGGCACTGAAAAAGTGCAGTGACACAATCCACATGATATGTGATTGTTAGGTGACCTCCCAATTGGTCATTCTAATTTTTATGTATGCCTGATTACATACAGGCTTTCTGGCCTTAAATCGTCATACCAACAGACGTTAAAAGATGGGAGTTGTTGCTACCTTGTTTGCCGTTTAACAATAAGGGATAGAGCAACGTCGATCTGGCGCTGCTCAGTGGCTGCCGGGCTCACGATCAATTGGGCAAAAAGAATTTCTGTTTCGGTTTAATAAAATTTGGAGTGGACTATAAGGCTATTATTTATTATTATTATTATTATTATTATTATTATTATTATTATTATTATTATTATTATTATCATTATACCCATTCAGCTCCACTTTAAAAAAACATGGTGACAGTTAGTTAATTATTTACTTAAAAATAACAATACATGAGCCGGCTAATTAAGGGTAATATAAGCAACACAAAAAAGCCAACAAAAAAGCCATCATCGGCATCAACTAAAATACGACGTAAAATGCATTATTTTTGGTTTCTCAATGGTTTTTTCAAATTTTTCAAAATATCTAATATTTGTGGTGGTACACAAGTTTTAGAAATTGTTATATTTCAGCCGTCTCTGAACCAATTTTGATCAAACAAAGATGATTTTGTCATGTAAATATTATGTTCTTTCAAATTTGACACTCAGTTTTTCATTATCTCACAGAAAAATTATTTTGTGTAGCGCCCTCTGCAACAGAACTCAACTATACCTTTAAATAATAATAGTATTTGCTTCATGATTTGAACAAGAAATGATAATAAATAGGAAGTAATGAGTCCAAAAATAGGATTTTGTCTTAAATGGCCGAAAACCCCCTCCTTTACTCTATTCAAGTTTCAAAGTACAAATATTTTTTACAATATTTAAGAAAATCAAAGTTGATTTATTTTGCATTTTAAAAATAGGTCTAGAGGTCTAGAGATCCATAATACGTAAGTGTACGAATCGAGGCTCCCTTTCTCTTAATACGCAGGAATACTTAACATCTATCTGGCAATGTCGTTCATAATTATAATGGCAATAATAGAATATCCATTGAAAAATAAATTGCAGCAAAATCATTCACTTTAAAAAAAATGTCCTGATCCTTTGTTATTAAACCCTGATCTAGAGAGTCTACTGAACCTCTAACCCGAGTCTGTGGTAAAGAATGACATAAACTTTACAATCACTAACAATATAGACCTCTACAGCCAAAACTAATTCAAATATGAGGATGATGTGTGCTGCCCAAAGGCAACAGGCCCATCAATGAAACAAAGCCATTCTGAAATTTACCAATTTGCCAACAAAGCTGTACATCATTCATTGACTGTTGTTAGTGTTATCACAATCATCCAAAGCTCAACTTATAATCTTATTTCATAATTAGAATATCACAAACCTGATTGGAAATGTCATATATGTTTAAGCTAAGGCATAATTACAGCTTGGGAAACACAGGTAGTGATGACCGAAGCACTATTTGCGGGTAACATGCCCATACAAGACACATTACGGCCGCAGGCGCGGCGCATTCAGCAACACACAATAGTCGATATGAGCCGACATCGTCGGTGGCTTAGCTTACTTGTTCAGCCTCAGAGCACAGTGCAGTGCCAGGGCACTGCGAAAGCTACACGGCAAAGCTACGGGGACCTATTGTAGGCTTTCCCCGCTCGGAGCCGTATCGCTCCAATTTTACTGGACCTTTGCATCCCGTGGGAATCTATAAAATAGATTAAAACTAAGGGAACTAATATGTCTTCAATAAATCAAAATACGTTACCAGCTCTTCTGCCGTCAGAATACAGCGAATGTAGATACGGGTTGCGAAGACACTGTATTAAATTTTGACGATTATCACGTTCTCCGCACACATAGCAGCCATGTTTAAAGAGCATTTCACTGTATAATATGAGAGTTGGAAAGAACTCCGCTGCCATTGGTCAATAAAACAGCCCACGAGGCTATTTCGCCAATAGGCCATTGGATAAGAAACTTTCAATTGATGAGTGCCAATTAAAGCAATTATGCAAATTCTGGAGAAATGCAGAAAATATAAATGAAATATTGACTCATGTACATGGATATTCAAAAGCCAGAGAAATCGTTTCATAAGATGGCAATTGCTTTGATCCATACGAATCATCATTTGTAAAAGAGTTGGCATAAAGCCGATGGTTTTGGTATCAGAGCCTCATAAGACACCACCCATATACCATAGGCCTAGATCTATAATCCTCTCAAGCATTATGTTCAATGTCGCACCTTCCTGGTCTGAATAAACGTTGATTTTCACAGATGGTAAATATTGTATCAAGATTGGAAAATAATCACGACAACAGAAAATGCATCACTGTTTTGCTATTATTGCAAAGAAAATGATAAACGCGAGCTCATCAAAATGATTCTCACAAAATATATTAGGCCTGTATTCCTATTTTTAGGTATGTTTTATTTAATCAAAACAGAATCACAATATTTACAAATAATTGGAGATTCATTTGAAATCAAAAGTAACACATCATAAAGTAAGACGATTAAATATCAGAACGTCAATCGGTATAGTAATGAAATTATCATAGGCCGAGCAGTAATGCAGGCAGCCAAAGAAAAAGTATTTAAAACCTTCATTTATGAATAACCTTCATTTATATAAAGAGTTAGAAATTTGTGTTGGTCATAATCAATTTTTGTTTTCGAATTTCGAAACTTTTCAGACTTTATTATTTTCTGATTAATACCTTTTATAGTGTCTTCCCGAATAGGTTTTACAACATCAACATAAATAACAAGATGTACATGTATGTTGGTTTCAGGGGCAGCTTTTTCTAAAGAAACAAACAGGAGAGTCTTATAACCTCAAACAATCAAAGCTATCACTTTATGAAATAATTTAAATAAGAATGAACAATGACGTGTACTTCAAAATCAGTCATGTCAATTTATTCCGAATTGACCTGGTCAGGGTCATTAAGTTCATTGCCAAAGGCCATCTGCTTTTCAGGAACACATCGAACTTGACACTGTAAACATATGTCGATTTTGTTTTATTATTATTATTATTTTTTGATTTTATTTTTATTTTTATTTGTTTATATTTTGAAAAAAATAGTTTTCATAAGTTTGGTTCTGATTTTATCAAATACTATATCTTTGTTTAACTTGGAGGTATTCAACCAATAATTTAGTATATTTTTCATTAAAATTTATATTTACTCCTGTTCTGCGGTGCAATATTATAATCAAGAAAAAGATCTTCAAAAAGCTACCAGGGTGAATACTGAAAGGGGTTCAAGTCAATATAAGACAACAAAAATAGTAGTTGATGAATAATAAGAGTCATTAAATTATTTTATAAGATTGCTGCTCTTAATTACCAGCAGGAATGAAGATATAAATGCAGCGTATTTGAAAGTTATCTAGCCTTTGATCTTGCATTTTTAATGTTGCTATTTTTGCTGCATGCTTTATATTTTCCGTTTTCTTTGTGGTTGACTGTTGTAAATAGGCCTATAAATTCCTTTGATTCGGCTGTATAATCATAACTACCAAATATTTCCAAAGGCTTGTAAATGCCTGTTGGTGCACATGAGCTGCACGTGTGATTTATTCATTATCATTGATATTATTTACAGCTTTCTTTTTAGAACTTATATCAAACAAATTCAAATGGCCGCAATCAAAGCAGCCAACGATCCAGGATCATGTTAGAAACGGTCCAATGAAAGTGGAGCTCAGCTTGAATTCCCAATAAGATGTATCCCTACGACTATGATTTTGGGAATGCCGGCCCTCTCCAGGCTCAAGCGCTTAGTAAGGGGGAGATATAATTTTAGAAAATATATTGAAATAAAATATAATTCAGAAAACCCACCCTCGCCCACTCAACAGGGCCGGAAAGGAGAGGCGGGATGTTTACGGAATGTAACATGACTTGTATTATTTCTCTCAATTTTTTCGGTAGCGGGTGCGCTTTGGCCCTCCCTCTCACCCCCTGGATCAAGCCGTTTATGTTTTGTACGTTGAATTGTGTGATATAATAGAAGTGAAATTAAAACAATAAAAACACGAATGTGAGGTTAAGATGGAGCCAAATTGAAGAGCCAATCAGTGGAGAGTCCAACATGAACCGATGAACGAGATTTACAAAATCAAATACTTAGCAGTTAGACGGGCGAATATAAAAATAAAAGAATTTTAAGGAAAGATTTTGTAAAAGATTTTAAAAATCTTAGAGAAAAGGAATATCTTAACAAGAAAGAAATATGAAGAAATACAAAGGATGAAAGCTTTAAAAGCATCATAAGTTTGTCAATTTTGTGAAATCTTTCAGTGGTGTAAGGATAATCAAAATATGAAAATATATAGGGTTATACATTTTATTTCCATAATTGCTGCCCCTATCTGATGTTTTTATGCCCGTCTCCATTCTTCAATGGTCAGATATTGTTATTTTTTGGACATATATTGCTGTAAAGCCCCTCTTAAAGCGTTGGGAGCCCCAAATTCGCCAAAAATTATTTTGATGGCAAAATTTCACTTAAATTGTATCAAAATGTGATAGAGGATGTCATTTTAAGGCATTGTGGTGAATTGGTGAAAGAAGTATAATATCTGTTACTACTCTGATAAGCTGCTCCGATTCTTAGATTTGGTTCTTTAGATGGCTGTAAAAGGGGTTCATTCTGTAAGCGACAATGGGAAATATTGGTTAAAGGGGGGGGGGATTTATTATTTTTTTTACCAAAAAGCGCTTCTTGGAAGGGAAAGGGGACACGTCTTATTAAAAGTTACAAGAAGAATTAATCTTATTGGAAAAGTCGGCGCTTATTTAAGCAGCCAAACCACTATAGCATGCATGGGGGGGGGGGGGGAATCTTTCAGAAAAATCTGCATTGTGCGGGCTTTCAAAGGATTGTTTGCTACAAACTAATGTAATGAAATTCATCATTATGTCATAGGCACCCAGCCGTCGCCAAACGGAGAAAAGGTGACAGGAGGGGGGGGGGGGGGTTGTATTGCCAAATAAAAGAGGTTGGCAATAATTATGAATAAAAAGCAGCATGCAAAGAAAAGAAAAATAACGGGGGTCAAAATGATAGGTTCCTAGCATTACAAAAAAAGAAAGGGGGGGGAGAGAGAGAGAGAGAGAGAGAGACAGAGACAGAGACAGAGAGAAAGAGAACAGAGGATGAGGAGAGGGAGAGATGGAGATAAGAAGAAATATAAGAAGAGATTGAGAATGAGAGAGAGTGGGGAGGGGAGGGGGCGGGGTGCAGGGGCGTCGCTAGACTTTTTTTCAGTGGGGGGGGGGGGGTGTAGAGGCCTTCTATTACCGACAAATTATTATTAATGCCAAACAGGCGCGTATACGCAGGATTTTTTTTTCGAGGGGGGGGGGGGGTTCAAAATTTGAAAATCACGCCGAAAATTTCGCAACGACTCCACCAGCAGCTGAATAAGCGGGGGGGGGGGGGGGGGGGTAAGAGGACATATATTTTATTTGTTTTGGTCTCAAACATTTCGCAACGACTCAGCCAGCCACTGAATAAGCAGGGGGGGGGGGGGGGAGTAAAAGCACATTTTGTGTGTGCGTGTGTGTGTGTGTGTGTGTGTGTGTGTCCTTCAAAATTTGAGAATTTGGCCGATCGATATTTCGTTTCTTTTTTTTTGGGGGGGGGGGGTTAAGGTCAGCTTTTTTTGGTCCCCCATTACCACAATTTTGTTAACAATTATTATTATTATTTTTTTTATTTAAGCAAAAAGCAAAAAGGGGGGGGGGTTATTGGAAAACATACACATACAAAAAGGTAAACGGGGGGGGGGGAGGGGTTTAAACCCCCCCCCCCCCTCTCTGCGTACGCGTCTGATGCCAATGTTCCAATGTCTACAAATTTAACCCTATAAACTCTCTTAATCCTTGTCTGAATTCAGTTTCTCCCTTTCGCGCAAAGCGCGGAAACTTTGACGTTTTCATTAAATTATTAGAGAAACAAGACGATTCGTTTGTAATATTTTCGACTCTTAGCCTAATCCTTGTCTGAATCAAGCTTCCCCTCCCGCGCAAAGCGCAAAAGCTTTGACATTTCAGTAAATTATTAGAGAAAGAAGAAGATTCGTACCGACTTTTAATCATTTTCTAAATTTTCAAAAATGTTTCTTAGTCCGATAAAAAGTCACAGTTCGTGGGGGGGGGGGGAATTGCCGGCCGACCGACATAATACATCTCACCGACTTCAAATTTCTGCATTGATATCGTACACGAGGATTGAGCAAGAATACCGACACAGCGGACCCCGACACAGCAACACAATTATCTATGCTAATCTTTCCTGCTCCCTCGACGTGCCGCGACTCCACCCAAAATCCCCCTTTCTCTTACTCCCACTCTCTTCCCTCAGGCTCTTACCCCTCTTTCTCTCTTTTCTCTTTTATCCCCTATTTCTTTTATTTTCTTTTTCTCTTGTTTTCCTTTTCTCTTTTTCTTTCTTTTCTTTTCTTTCCTTTCTTTCCTCTTCTTCTTCCTTTTTTTTCCTCTTTCTTTGTTCTCTTCTCTTTCCT